TGTGTGTCCACCTCTGTGTGTGTGTGTCCACCTCTGTGTGTGTGTGTTCACCTCTGTGTGTGTGTCCACTTCTATGTGTGTGTCCACCTCTGTGTGTGTGTCCATCTCTGTACTGAAGGGGACACCTTGACAGTTTTTGTCCACCAAAAAGAAACGTGTCAGCTGATTTATGCTTTAGATAACTCAGCTGGGGCCGAATGAATCTGAATTTTACATTAATATGGAACAAGAGCACAACCTGCATCTTAATTGTTGACACACACAACTGGAGGACAGGAGGGAAAGCCATCCTTAGATTACATCTGTATGGAGGCATCTGTATGCATTATGAGAAGTGTTTGTAGATCTTGTGAGGGTATATATTATTGTAAGGAAAAACACAGTCTATTGATGAATGGAGTTTGAATTATTGTGTTTTCTCTTTCTATGTGTTACTGAGGTCAAAGCTGTTAAGATTCAAAATATATATATATTTTTGTTTTAATATCTCTCTATTTCAAATGTTTGATATTATATATACATATATATTTGATATATTATATTTAAAAAAATATATATGTTTAAATAAATATATATGTATACATATAAGCACTCACTATTAGTCTTTCATTCATCTTTAAGAAACTAACATTGCATTTATACTCTACTTATGGTTATAGCATAACAATCTTTTACTGAATAGTTCCATTTGGCTTTTTTTTTGTTTCTCTGAGATCTATATATGAAAGAAATATCACTAAATTTGGAGCGTTCAGTCACAGAAGCCGACCAAAACCCTAAAATAAAAAAAGAAGACGGTGAAAACCCGGTTGCTGCCCCTCCGGACGCCGGACGCTAACTGGAAGTGTTTTTCTCTGCTTAAACGGCCTTCTTGTAGAAAGAGGAAACGCATCAGTAATAATAAGGAACCACTTTTTACCTTCTGTGGGGACGCTGGTGGGCGGGTGGGAGGTGGGGGGCGCCCCCCCCCCTGAGGCTCCGCCCCCGCTGGGCGGGGTCGTTTTGGGGGGGGAGGCGGTGGTGAGGGGAGACGGGGGCGTCGTCTCGGCAACGTCGCACAGCTTGTCTTTGGTCTGAAACGAGAAGGGAGATGGAGAATCCGCTTTTTTAATCAACGTCTGGGATTATTAAAGTATTTCTGATTCTGATTCGGGCGGTAAGGCAAGAAGGTTCTGGGTTGGAGTCCCCGGGGGAACCAGGACCAGAGGGTTCTGGGTTGGAGTCCCGGGGGAACCAGGACCTTTCTGGGTGGAGTCTGCATGTTCTCCTGTGTCTGTGGGTTCTCTCCGGGTTCTCCGGCTTCCTCCCACCGTCCAAAAACCTGCATGTTAGGTTGGTCGGACTCCAAACTGCCCTTAGTGTGAGTGTGTGTGGTTGTTGGTCCTTGTGTGTCTCTGTGTGTCCCTGTGATGGACTGGGCTGTCCAGGGTGACCCCGCCTCTCGCCTATTAACCACTGGGATAGGCTACAGTCCCCCCATGACTCCATTAGGGAATAAGCAGTTACCATAATGGATGGATGGATGATTCTGATTCTGAAAACGTGTGAAGGGACGTGTTAGTCCCCGTCCAGGATTCTCACCTCGTCCGGGCAGCTGTTGTCCACCCAGTCCTGCCGATGGCGGTCAAAGCCACTCGAACACCTGGAGAGCAGAACAACAGTCGTGCTTATTGTTATTATTGCTTATTATAATGGTTATTGGTTTGGTTATTGCTAATTTAGCCGCTTCTGAGTGCACAAAAAGCTCAAAAAACATCCATCAGTTGTTGCCAAGAGTTAATACTGAATACCAAATATCAAAATCACTGTCCTGGTCAGAGTATCACACCCACCAGACTTCATAGTGGATCGATCCGCTCATTGGATGACATTAAACTGGTCAATAGTGAAATCATTACAGTAGTTACAGGTCAAAGGAGCAAATTCTCACATTTGAAAAGCATCTTTATCTGACAAATTCATCGAAATTAGCTGAAGCTCATTTTCCGTCCCTCCAATAAATGGAAGGTACTCAGACCGGGACGTTCCATCCGACTTCTCCCGGGGGCCCACAGCTCATGGAACGGACCCCCGAGGAGCTACAGAAACAGCTACGGATTGTAAAAAAAACGGCACTCGAGGCTGGATTGACTCAAAGAAAGCCTCGGAATATTTTGTGGATACTGGAACCGTTGGGATACATCGAGAGGAGAGTCATGGCCTCCATGGAAGACAGCCCAAGATAGTCAATCACGAGTTGAGGTCCGAACCCCCTAAGCCGAATTGTAAAGCGAGTATGGATGTCTGTTCGTTAGTGGAAAAACCCATCGGCCACCTCCTCCACACAGAGGCCTTCAAACTGTCAGAAGATCGAGAAAAGACGCTGGAATTTGTTAACCCGATTCTTTAGTTGGAAACCTGAGAATATACCAGAGTAGACCAAAAGTACAAAAATAACATCTACTGGACACCGTTAAGTAAATCAGCTGGGCTCTTCACAGACAAAAACCTCTCTCTCCTATTGGCTAGTTACCTCTGGGCATGAACAGGCCAGGTCCTAATTCATGTAGATGACATTGGAATATGGTACCAAATGGTGTGTGTTTGTGTTGACCTAAAAGTGTGGATCAAAGAAAGAAAAACAGAGAAAAGGAGAGTCTGTGGACACAGCCAGATACTAGTTCTAAAAAGAATAAGACAATCAGTAATTAACATAGATTATGTTATAGCATACTATGCTAAAATGAGTGATTTTAGTCAAATTCTAACTAATTAAATGAACAGAATCAGGGATTCCCGTCCAGAAAGTTGAGTCCAACTCAGGGAACTATCTGTGGAGCTGTTTCTGTGCTTCCAAAGCGACGATAAAAAGAACGAGTCTTTTAGCACCGGGCGATTGACGATAACTACTGCTGAGAGCCGGGAGAGCCGGTCTGTTGAGCAACACTTAATATTCCTGTCTTTTTTCTGGTCGGGATCGTGCTGGGAGGCGAACATCTGCACCTCCCACTCCCTCCCTCCCGCTGGGGTTCAGACTCAGAGATCTTACAGAGGGGAGTGGCTGAAAATGTGGGATTTAAGAGCGGAGCGCGAGGGGGTCGTGTGGGCTTTGCATCAGGGCGTTGCTGAGTCAACAAGACGCCGTTTGCTGTCAAAATAAATGAGCACCGAAAGCTCTCTGAAGTGTCGGAATATGCAGGCGAACATAACAGACCCACATGCGGAGCTTCAAAGCTCTGTGGGGTCAGCAGGAGGCCAGAACAGTGTCCAGCAGGCCGGTTTGGGGAGCATATTTATGCTCCATATTCATCTGTTAACCCGATTCTTTAGTTGGAAACCTGAGAATATACCAGAGTAGATCAAATGTATAAAATATGACATTTATTGGACACAGTTATCTCCTGGGCTCGATCCGCCTCCTCAAAGGAGGACTGGACACAACCAAGTCCTATTGGCCAGTTACCTCTGGGCATGAACAGGCCAGGTCCTAAAAGTCGTATTGGCTAGTTACCTCTGGGCATATACAGGCCAGGTCCTAAAAGTCCTATTGGCTAGTTACCTCTGGGCATAAACAGGCCAGGTCCTAAAAGTCCTATTGGCTAGTTACCTCTGGGTATGAACAGGCCAGGTCCTAAAAGTCCTATTGGCTAGTTACCTCTGGGCATTTCCCAACTTCGGAGAACACACACACTTCCTTGTTTTTGTCACGTTAATTAAAACAAACCAATGAGAATCTAAACTAGGGCAAAGCAGATTGAACTAAATGTCTTAAAGATGTAGCTGTGAATTAAATAAAATGTAATTATATGACCTACTGAATTAACTTTACAATGATCCCATCCCGCCCCATCCATCTGCTCAATCGGAAGAGACAGAAACCTCTTAATCCTATATTTTCCCCCGTCTTCTCCAAAGTTGTGAAAAGACGGAATAAAGCGTGGTCGGAAAACTTTACCTGTCTCCATCCTTTGGCTTCTCCTTCTGGAGAGTGATCCAACCAGCATTTAATCGAACCCTCACGTTACATGATCATAGAGGCAGAAAGATGAATATGAACGTCACATGAATTAGGACCTGGCCTGTTTATGCCCAGAGGTAACTAGCCAATAGGACTTTTTCTTTTTCTGTTACATTAGACAAACTTCTTTAGATCAACAGAAACACACACCATTTGTTACCACATTCCAATGTCATCTGCATGAATTAGGACCTGGCCTGTTTATGCCCAGAGGTAACTAGCCAATAGGACTTTTTCCTATTTGTTATATTAGACACACGTCTCCTCAGAATCCGCCTCAGCCGGCTCCCGTCTACCGGAAAGAGCCGGCGTCCCTAATTGGAAACGGGCCGAGGAGCTTCATTTGAATGTAAATGAGCTCACGAGGGGGAACGTTTCTGCTCAGGTTCTCAAGACGGTGACAGCAAGACGGGTTTTTTTTTTTATTCCTAGTCGTCATTTCACTGAAGACATGCTGTCATTCTTCTCATGGCCCTCTGGTGCCTTTACTCAGATATCATAGCTGCAATCTTTAGACTTTTAATCAGATAAAATCCTTCATGTATTTCAGCCAGAGGAGTCGACAGTCATTAATATGCCTCCCCGTTACCTGCTTTCTCTAATGGCTCCATATCAGAGAAGAAGAAAGAGTCTGTGAGAGACATTTTAAGAGAAGCTTTCTCTGTCTGCTGAGCAGTGGAAAGCCACCTGCACCCTGTGCAGAATGAAAATAAGGCCGAGGACCTTTCAGCCACCAGCCACTGTTATGTTCCCGGCTCTGGAGCCGGCCCCACCCCCACCGGCACACCTGCTCAGCCACTCACCCTGCAATCAGCACTCATCTCCTTCACCTGTTCCCACCTCCTTATATTCACCGTGCCTGTCTGAATCCGTTGCCAGAACGTATCGAGCCTTCGTGTGAGTACTTCCAGCAATCTATCCTGTTTCTGTCTGCCTGATTACTACCCGCCTGACTCCGACTCCCGAGCTTGCCTACTCCCTGTCTGTTTTGTCCGCCTGCCTGAGATCTGTCTGCCAGTCTCTGGATCCTGCCTGCCTCCCCGTGTACCGACCTCGCCTGCCCGACTACGTGCTCCCGCCTGCTCCCCTGGATTGCTCCCCTGGCTTCGACCCTCGACCGGCCCCCGACCACGTATTGGATTACCTGCGCTGCCTGGATCTCCCGTTACCGAACCTGGACTGTTCTGACCACGCCCCTGCCGAGCCCCTGTCCATTAATAAATCTTGTTGAACTGACCGTACGTCTCTGGCTGCTTTTGGGTCCTGAGTTCGTTCATTACAGCCACACCAAATTCGACCAAGTTTGTTTAAAGAAATCTTATTAGCTTCTCCTTTTAAGCTAGTTAGCAGCTAGCAGCTATTAGCAGCTTGTTAACACATCGAACTCCCAGGAGTTTGCGCCATCAGGATAACACTGAAAATACAAAAACTAATGAATAATGTATTATTTTTGTAGGGAAATATGCTAAAAGTGCATTTGGCGCCAATAATCTACCAGTTAGTCTAAATTATTGCTAAACTGTGTTGATGAAGTAGACAGAAACTCGGCAGTAGTCTTTTACATGGGAATAACAATTCCCTCTGGTGCCATTTTCAATATTTTTTTTCCATTTCTGTGTTCCTGGAAACGCTTCTACTTCTCTCTGGGCCATGACTTCATATTTTCAGTCTATTTGTTTTGAGTCTGTTGGCAAGTTCTTTACACGCTTTGCTAAGCCGAGCGGCGTTATCTCAGTCTGCAGCGTTTTGAGCCCGGCTTCCATCTCCTGTGAACTAAAACACTGATGCTCCTCATAGGTAAAAAGTAAACAGCATCAAAACCTGCACTTCTATAGGAACCCTTGCTTTATCTCTTTTTTGATAAGACCAATTCTAGTTTCCACCTCAGCCTGTACAGTGTGACGTTGTCAAATCCTATTTTTTTGGCCTCAAGTTTGAAGTAAATTGTATTTTTTAGAATGAAAATTGAAAAACAAATGGCTTGTTCCAGCATCCTCCGTGTCCTTGTGGAAGGCAAACCTTTACTCAGCCGTTTGTGCTTTTTCCATTTACGAGCTTGATCATTTCGATGCACTTTATGTTGCTGTCACGTCTGGTGTCTCGTCATGTCCTGATTACCAATTGTGTGCACCTGGGGTTCCCCTTCCTCGTGTGTTTAAATAGTCCTCGTTTCCCCTTGTCTGGTGCGGGGTCGTTCTTGTCTTCTTGCCTTGTCTCTTGTCCTTTCGTCCGTCGTCACCCCCACGCCAGGTTTGTTTCGTTATAGTTCTGCCACAGCCACAGTCATAGTCACGTTTTGTCATAGTCTTGTTAATCTTTATTTTGTTACTTTGTCATAGTTTTTCCACAGTCTTGTTTGCTTGCTTTGATACTTTGCCCACAGTTTGCCACAGCTTTGTTTTGTACTTTGTCTGGACATTCACCCTGTTTTTTTTGTCAATAAACCTTGTTCCCCTCATTCCGCGACTGAGTCCTCCCGTCAACACCCACCTCCCTGACAGTTGCAGACAAAAACGGAAAAGGACTTAGTCTAATTCACCGGCCGGCTGCAAACAGCTCTCTGTAATACACGTGTTTCGCTCGACAAACTCATTCTCTTAATGTCTTTGCTTTTTTATGGCGCGACTACTGTAACTCCAATCTGCCTCTGTGAGCATAAATATTACGCCGTGAGTCTAAGACCTATTTAAATTCCCCGTTTGTCTCTGTGTGAGGCACGGCAGCAAACAAATCCCTTCCTCCAAACACATCCATATTCAGAGGCCTCCACGTGTGTCGTGCTTTATTAACCCGCCCGCAAACGGATTTAACCGGTGTGGCTTCGCCTTCTCGGAGAGGGAAGTTCATTAGCGTTGTTCTCCTGAAAACACCGGCCTCCTCTCGTTTCCCCCCGCAGCCACGGTTTTTAATTAGCGCATACCGAAAAAAGCACGTTCGGCTTTTATTTCTCAAGCACGTGGCTCAAGGATACAAAGGGCAGAAGCAGACCGAGCAGTCAGATTTGAACACAGTCGGAAAGCTAATTAAAAAACTGCTTAATGAGACCACTGCTGCAGGCGGGAAGAGTCTCAACAGCATCCAGAAAAATTAAAAATAAAAAAAAAAAAACGCACAAAACAAAACTTTTTCATGCTAATAAATGCTAAATTAGTTTGTTTTTGTCAAAGGAAAGAGGAGTTAAGAAGCTAAGCGGAAGGAAAGTCAAATCCAAAAACCCCCCGTAAGTCCCTGAAAAACAAATCAAAGCGGACAGAGCACATTTCTCTGGTCAGACACTTTACCCGGGGTAAGTGATGACTCAGAAATAAGAGAGTGGGGAATTAATATTTGATGAAGACAGAGTTCAGAAGGTAAAGGCGAACTTGGGGGCCGGAGTAAAGGACAGAAAAACAACGTCTGCCGAAACTCAGACAGAAACTTTCCTCCCTCACACGGATGATTACATTCTGCTTTCACCATAATTAATTACTCGCATCATCCACTGCCAACTTCTGAGCTCTTTTCACACCTAAATTATCATTAAACACCAACTTTAATCTTTTATATATCTATCAGATTGGTTTATTCCTTTAAATTAAACTCAGATAAAAAAGTGTTTTAACCCTTTAAAGGCTGATCCAAGAATAAAACAAAACAGAAATTTACTTTTTTGGGGGTTTGAATTCCTTATTTGGCCTTCTAACAAAATATGTAAAAAGAAAAAACAGAAATACATTTTTAATATTAATAATTTATTACTGTGCGATGAGTCAAGATTATTTTTTGGGTAGTCTTCTGCCCCCTGTTATCAGATTGTGTACAATAGGATTTTGATCATTGATGATTTGTTTTTACCATTAAATTATGCAAAAAACATTTCAGAAACCGTGTGTATCAAATATGATACATTTGGCATTACAGGGTTAAAAAATGAAAAAAAAATGGAGAAAAAAACTCAGATAAGTGAAATTAAATCATGCGATAATGATGAAAAGGACAAGTCTCTAAAAACATTCTCAGCCTTTCTTTTATCCGTATTAATTCCGGCGTTTTGTTGCCCATTTTCCTCCTTTTTCTATGTTCTGCTGATATGAAATCCAAATATCTTTTCACTCTCAAATAAAAAACGTGTATGTACTCATTGCATGTGCAACAGGCAACAAATGAATGTGAGTAAATGGTGCAAATGAATGAATATGAGTAAATGGTATAGGGGGATTGTAACGGAAGTAGGAAGTAGAAGAAATCCAACCTGTTGAGCCGATGGCACCAGCTGCAGTTGAAGTTGATCTGAGAGGAGACGCAGGCTCCACAGCTGCTGAACTGAAGACAGGCTGCAGAAGAGAGGAAGAAAAAAACCTGTTACCACGTCTGTGAATTCAACAGTGAACGAGCAGAAGCCCGAATCTGTTCGTTCGGAAAGGTTCAGACTGGGAAAGGCTGTTCTTACTGGGCAAGGGCAGGATCTCAAACGCGGTGGAGTTGGTGATCCTCGTCTTAATCAACTCCACCCGGTGGTACTCGTAGATGGTCCTCCGCCTCACGTCTACAAATATGGGAGATGGAGACTCTTATGGAAATCGATATATGTGTAATCACTTATCATGACAATAATGAACCTGATTGATGATCGTAGAGCCACATTTGCTGTGTTCTGGGTTAAAAAACATCACTAAGGGAAATATTAGTCCCATAAAAGTGGGACTAATATTTGTGATTTATGTTTATTTTCTAAAAGAATAATGAAAGCTGTTAGGGAAATCAATATATGTATAATCACTTCTTTAATTTATCTCTGGTAACTTTCCACAAGTGAATATTTTAAAGGTTCTTTTTCTTTCTCATGGTATTCTTTCCTCCTTCTAGGTCTCAGAGAGGGTCTCCTTATACATTATCTTTTAATGTTTTCTTAATGATTGTTTGGTACAGGTGCAGGTTACTCTATAATGGGAGACTTTACCCCACTTCTCAGACTCAGAGGGGTATAAAATGCTCCATGATTTGTTTTACTTTAGGGCAGTTTGGTGCGTCTTATGAACCACTTGTATGGTCTCACTTCCTGAAGTTTTCCCTTTCCCTTTTTTCCCCTTTTAATAAATTTCTTAATTCCTCGGATGGACTCAGACTTTTGCTTTAAAATAAAATTTCCACAACAATACAGAGGAGTCAGGTAAAAAAAAACTGGGCCGAGTTGTCCCTGAAGGAGGAGGGAAGAGAAGAGGAGGCAGAACCAGGTCGAACCAAGCACTTCTCGGCTTTTTTTTGGGCCCAAAATGTCAACTCCCCCCTGGAGACGTGATATCCATCTGACCCCGCTGAAAGGCTGAACTTCCACTCATCTGTAACATCCAGCCATCAGGCGAGGACAGATGGATAATTAGACCTATCCCTGACCCTCACTGCATCCTGACCGGAGCGGAATCGCTAATTTAACGTCGATGCATCCTCAGAAAATGTGGAAAAAAATCAGCTTGGATTGTATTTAATGCATAATATCCTAAAAGACCTGGTAATATATATCAATTATCATTTCCATCAATTATAATTGCCATCCCTGGGTTGGAATTAATATGATTTTCAAGGCATTAAATGCTAATCTGTAGCATAATTTATGTGCACGAGCACGTGTACGTGCACTGACCGAGGCTGACTTTGAAAACTCTGCATGTAAAAACTGTTAAAGGTTAAAGAAGCAGATGGACGTGTTAGGAAATAAGCTCATTTGTTGTGTGAAATCCAAATACGAACCCATCAGACAATTACAGTAATATGTATATATATGCTTCTTTACCCTGTATATATCTAGATCTTAGTTATAGAAAACATATTTATTGTGTAGGAATAAGGTCTTAGCTCTGTCACACTGGTAGCCAAGTAATCGACATTTCGTTGTCAAGATTCACCTTGTGTTTTTTGTACAATCACAATAAAGGAAGTCTAAGTCTAAGTCTAAGTCTATTAGCTTAGCTTAGCACAAGTACTGGGATTCAGGAGCAGCTAGCAGCTAGCCTGGTTCTGTCCCAAAAAAACAAGATGTCTCTCAATCGTATATGTTTTCTTGTATTCGAATTGGTTTTAAAAAGCATACAAAAAGTGATTTGTGTGTTATGGGAGTCAACTGGAACTTTGCAGTGCTAAGCTAAGCTAGGCTAAAAGGGCCTAGCTTTATATCTAGCATAGAGATGTGATGTTTATTAGCCCCCTCCAAGGCAGCAAATGGTTTTAACTGACAAGAAATTAATCACTGACCATTTTGAAGGGTTTTTTGTCAACTGAACAGACTTTACTTCAATACATTGGCCCCCGTAATGTCGTAAACCTCCCACTCAGTGGTTCTGTCCCAAGAAAACAAGATGTCTCTCAATCGGATACGTTTTCTTGTATTCGAATTGGTTTTAAAAAGCATACAAAAAGTGATTTGATGTGTTATGGGAGTCAACTGGAACTTTGCAGTGCTAAGCTAATTGCGTAGCTTTAAGCTAAGCTAGGCTAAAAGGGTCTAGCTTTATATTTAGCAAAGAGACGTGATGTTAATTGGCCCCCTCCAAGGCAGCAAATGGTTTTAAATGACAACAAATTCATAATTTATTCATTCACTGACCATTTTGAAGGGTTTTTGTCAACTGAACAGACTTTACTTTAATACATTGGCCCCCGTGATGCTGTAAACCTCCCACTCAGTGATTTGGGCAAGGCGCTTAAGGAGGAGTGGATGGAGGCTCTTAGGCATAAAATTCTTCATTCCGCATGCTTTCCACTTCACCTTGACACGTAGCGGTACCCAGAAGACGTCTTTTTCCACTTCCAACACATCCATCTTTAATAACGCTCTCCAGTTAGACCTGGAGGATGTTATTGTACCAGCTCACAATGTCATCTTGGAAGTCTACATCAGCCGGAGAGTACCAGCATCACCGTTACCATAGCAACACGGATTCACAACGCAGCTCGCCCTGTTAGCAAAGGGCAAAAAAAAAGCTATATACTACTATAATTGACAAAAAATATGTCAGCACAATGCTGCTGTATCTAAAAATAGACTTTTAGACCACAAAACAATGTTTCTCCTATTTATTCTTGATTCATACATCCCCCAAAAAAGGGGGAAGATCTCTAATAGTGTAAAACCTTTCATTTTCTTGACCTTTTTTCCGTGGCTGTGTGTGTGGACTGAGCAGAATGATGGTGAAATTAAGCATAATTTCAGATCATTTACAGCCTTTTTCAAAAGATTAATGTCTGAGACACTTTAACAGAAAATGTTTCATCACTTGCATACATTAATTTTAATCAAATTTTCTTCAAAAATCATACATAACTAAGTATAACCCAGTTAAACTTTGAATTATTATGATGCATCCAGTCTTGATCAAGATGAAACAAAAGGCTGATAATGCTCAATGATGAAAGTTAGAACATGTACTCGGCACATAGTGGATGTCTGTTGACAAATATGCTACGATTTTGTTTCGTTTGTGATGTTATTACCGTTTATCTGCGGAATATTAAAGATGGAGCTCGGCGTGTGCTCGTCCCTGACCTGTTAATCACAGCCTGGCCACTGCACACCCACAAATCATCCCTCTTATCTCTGACTTTACAGACTGAGATCCCCCCGGGCGCTGTATGAAATATTTTATTGGAGATTTTCAGAAAGAAGCACAGGGGAGTGAGAAGTCAGGATTTTTTCGGCTCATTTTTCCCCCTCTGAGGTTTATCTAATTTACTTCAAACAGCAATAATAAGAATGCTAATGTGGCAAGAGAAGGATGAATTAAATCTGTCAAAATATGTATTTTTTTTACAAGATGACAAACGTCAAATGACTGCGAGAGTAAATCAATGCAAATATAAGCCAGGACCTAAATCATTCATTTGCATTTTTGTTTCAAGTATTGGCAAAATATGTAGTTTGGTATGTGGGATTTACTCTGGAAGAGTCAGCCATGATGTTCATGATGTTTAACCCAAAAAAAAAAGGGGAAAAAAGGAAAAAGGGGAAGGAAAAAAGGGAAAAAAAGGAAAAAAAAGGGGGAAAAAGGGAAAAAAAGGAAAAAAAAGAAAAACCAGAAAAAAAAGAAAAAAAGACAAAAAAGGAGAAAAAAAGTATTAGCTAAAAAACAAAAGCTTGAGGTAGACATGGACTCACTGGGTATTTGCTGGATCTTGTGGACCACCACAAAGGCATCAGACAGGCCCACCTTCACCGGGTGATTCACAGAGCTGATCTCCGACACCTCCACGGGGATCTGAAAATGGAAAAAAAATCAAATAAATCAGCCGGGTTACGAGAGTTTAAACACAATGTGGTATGTACACTTCACACTTGGATACATAGTTGATTAAACATGACTCGAGGATGAGTTTGTAAAATTCATAAGTGAGCAAAGATGGAGTTACTCAAATTAATCCTGACGGGAAACTTTGCGATGTTACGTAAAAGCTTGGATTCAGTTCACCGGTCAGGCTGTTTTTATACGATGGAAGATCTAATAAAAAACCCCGACTGGTCTCCTAATGTGGGAAAATAACACTTTAGTTATAACTCCTGTGGGAGTGGCTCCTCCTCCCCGTTTTAGTTGTTGTTTCTGTTCAGGGGAAGTGTTTAATAATGTAGTTTTGA